AGGCAGCCAGTGATTGGAAACTGATGGCTCACCTGGTCCTCTATTCCATCATGGAATATACAAATCAGAGACATAAAGCAATCCAGACAGCCAAAGAGGGAGATCCTAGAAGATGAACATCAGTAGTTTTTACTGCTCATGATTCTTCTCCTGGAGCTGTCTCACACAGAAGACCATGTAGACAGGGCCTCTCAAAGGCTGGAAACCACATTGAGATTCTGGAAGGATCTCTTCTGCCAATTTGGAGGAGCCGATTCAGTAGTATTTGAGCAAAGATCTTGCCAGTGATGCTTAGGAGGGAGATGCCACGATAGTTTCTGCATAGTGAGCGGTCTCCTTTTTTGAAGATCGTCACAATATTGGCATTTTTAAAGTCCTCAGGGGCTGTTTTACCTTCCCAGATTTTCTGTATCAGGAGGATTAACCAGGTCTTCAGTATGAGGCCACCATGGGAGATAAATTCCAGGGACAGATTGTCAGAATCAGGAGATTTTCCAGGTTTCATGAAGTGAAGTGCTTCTTTCAATTCACAGAATGTTGTGGGGAGTCACTCTACACAACATTCTGTCACACCCGTTGCCAGGCATTTATATATAAGAAATAAACAAATACTTTCTGGTTTCTGGTCATCACATCTGATAAGGTAATTTACGGCCTCTCTTGTATCTCAGCTCAGAGATTCCAACACATTTTCCTTAGTCTTCCATTATAACATTAGTGTCATTTATAGCTTTTCCACTGTTTCATCATCTACAAACACACATTGATTCATTTTTTACAGCTTATCAAGCCTCTGCAGGTTATCCAAAGCCAGAAAATATTTTTAGATTGTAAGAAGTTTTTTTTGAGATAATAATAATTTAGTGATACAAGACTTACTAATTAATCTATAGCTGAGATGGATTTATACCTTTCGCAGTGGTATTTGCACATAAGTGAATATAATAACCCCAGCTGGAATTGGAACTTGACTCTCCAATTAACAATTCTGAGTCATTATCCATTACACCACCTGCACATTCAAGCTTACAGTACCTGATATTGTCAAGGGGTCACCCATCTAGGTAGTGATCAAGCCTGATGTTGCTTAACTTCAATGATTGTACAGGAACCAGTGTTTTAATGTTTTATATATATATATATATATATATATATATACACACACACACACACACACACACACACACACACATTGCATCCAATGTATGTATATATTTAACCCTAAGCATTTTTATATTCTGTATTAAATTTGAGTTAAGTTATATTGTCGTTATTCCATGTGTTATTTGAACTTTGCTGATATAACAATGTTTCAGCCTATATATTCTTTGGCCTTCTCCATATTTATAGTCTATTTGGTTGTTTATTTTTCTCTTTTATGGGTCATTTTAAATTTAAGAATCAAGTATTCTTGCAAAGAGGGTCAGTGTAATAATCAGTTTGAAAAATATTGGGGCTATATCTTCTTAACTAAATAATTCAGTTGTTAGTATGTATCAAAAATCCTAGACTTTGCTATGATTGTACTGTTCAATGAAAAAGTGTTTACAGCTGATATTTATTGATAAAAAGCATACAGAGTCAGTGTTCAGTTATTATGTGGGATTTTGTAACACTGCTGTATTGAAACCATTCTGTAATCTTTACAGTGACTGTTAAATGTAAATAATATAGCTGCATCAAATTTTGCATGAAACTTAGCACTCTCATAATGATTTGTCAGGATTTTGCTGAATATTCTTAAGTTAAATGCAGATTTGTAAATGACATGCAGGTTTCAAGGATGGTTGAGTGTTGGTTTAAGTTTAGGATCATCATGATGATGAGTCACCAGAGAATGTGGAAAAACTTATGAATGCATAATGACTGTTGCCAAACAATTCATCAATTCTCTCTCCCATGATTGCCAGGAGATCCTCAAAGAAAATCTGAACACACATTGTGTTTCTATGAAGCTGAGATCATTACATACATTTCAAAGGGGCTATATATTTTGAAAAGAGTATCAAACAAAGTCAAATAATCTATGAAATATATCATCTACTAGAGTAATCATGTACTTTTTTGGGTTTAATCTGGAATCTCTACAATACCACTTTGTATGCCGACACACTTAGGTATAAAATTATCCATAAAAGAAAAAATATCATGCACATGGAGAAGAATGAATCCTCTTCTTCACCCTCAGCTATGGGTAAATAGCAGGACAGACTGGGTTCTGTAGCCTTGGATGGCAACTGGTCTACCACAGAAAGAAATGGCAACCTACTGCGAGAAAAAAATCTGCCTCGTCAGTCATGTATTGAAAGATACATGATCGCCTAAGCATGTATCACGCATGACACATAACTGACTGTCTTATATTATTTGGGCAAACTTGCCTTCATTTTAGTTGTTTTAGTCGTTGTTATTTTGTTCAGCCTTCTTCAGGTCCCTGTTGTATTTGGTAATGTTCTTGAAATGGTGAATCGATGGGAACGAGCAAGAATGGATGAAGAAATGGATGACATACACAAGAATAACTGTTATTCCAAACATGGACAGTTGGGAACAGCCTACTACTCTCGATATATTACTAAACTTAAAAACGGTGGTTTTTGATTCGGTTCAAAATTCTGAAAAAGTTACTGTAACGACGACAGTCACCAGAAGAAGGCAAGTGTCAACTGTCAAAGATGAGAGCAAGAGATCGAAAAACCATTGTATATTAATTACTCCTCAAGGAATTTAGATAGAAATTAGTGTGCTACAATTTCTTGACGATGAACAACAATAATTTTATTTCAATTTCTCCCTTTTCCTGTAGAAAATGTCTTTCGAAAGAAAAACTAGGAAACGAAATTGAAAACAGGTAAATAATAAATTACTGTAAAAAAAAATTAACCAAAAATAACAATGTAAAAAGGTTAATTTTTTAAAATATTCAAAATAAAATAAATCATACTTATTAAACAATTTAAGCAAATCCAAACCCAAAATTATTTGCCATTTTTTCCTCACTGAAAAAGCCTACATGGAGACTTTTTTTGTTGGTTTCTTTTTCGAATTTATTTCCTACTAAACAGCAACAAAAAAAGTTGATGGTGATTATTGCCTAGCAACTACTTGGTATTATTTTTCCCAGTTATCCCTTACTTTTTTTTTTCCTAAACTCATTTGATATTTCGGATATTGTAAGTAAAATTAGAGTCTATTTCTGAAGTCGAAAAATGTTTTGTTTGTTTTTGAGATCGTAAAATAAATGTAAATTGTAAGCAAACAAAATAAAAACGTAGACACTCATCACTCAGACAACAGCTTCTCCCAACTGTAGTGTACACACTCAGTATCAAAGTAGTATACACCCTGATGTCTACAGCAATGGCCTTTTGTTTGATCATTCACCATTTCTTTTTGTATGAATGCGACCTTGAATAGCGTACTGTATTTTTAGTGGATAACGACAGATTACTTCACCCACATTGAAAACGTAGCACCTATGCAATCATTGCTGTTTAGTTTCTGTTTACTGTTTAGGTGGGGTGGTAAATAAATAAATAAATACTGATTGAAAAAAAGCAGTTTCTGAACATCATTTTTGCTTGAGCTCAATTTCAATTTTCTCGACCCGACCAAAAAGTCATTGCAATCAGATATATACTGTTTTTTGTCAAATTTTTTAAACTGGAGCCGAAAAATTTTCAAAGCCTCTACTTATTTTATTTATGTAGAAAAACGAGTAAGTTTTTCTGTTCTTAGAAATTTAGATCTATTGGTACTTAAAAAAAAAAATAAATAAATAAAAGAGAAAAACTAAGGATCGCATTGCAAATTTACCATACTTTCAGTCTTCTGGACATTTTCCTTTACAAATATTTTCTTTACCCTTCAATATTTAAAAATTACAAGACTTGAACCACAAGGAAGATTTAGAAAACAATGGCCATAAAGGTAAATAACAGAAAAGGCAAAAGGTGGGGAAAAATAACTCTGTGGTAAGTAATTAATGTGTACAAACAAATACATATCGTAGGACACATAAGCAAAAAAAAAAAAAAAAAAAAATTCTCTTATTTCAGCAGCTAAGATTTACTAGCTAGTGGTCATAATATAGCAAGTAGTCTATTAAAGGACAAATGAAATAGCTTAAAAAATGTTTCATAGGTTGGCTGATATTTTTTTATGAATGTCTCCATGCTGTCAGCAGAATTTTTTTAAAACTTACCTGTTTTTATCATGCCGAATAAGGAGAAGAGTAAAAAAATAAGTTTGTTTCGGTCAGTCATGGTAGCTCAATCTGTTACTTAAGAAAAAGTTTGTTTTACCGAGAGAAACTTAAAGTTACACGCAAAAACAAATCACTAACAAGTGAGTTATTCTCGGAACACCGTTTAAATTGCCTGGGTTGTGGCTTTGAAATGTACATATGGGGACTAGTTAGGATTTCATAGAGAATTAGAGGTATTATGGTGGACGTAGTAAGAAAGGTAGGAGTGAATGTGTTGTTTCGGTGATAGGACTATTGTTGGTATGTTTGGGTCCGTGTCTGTGACTAGCTACGTTTAGAGAATTAAGACAGAAGAAAACCGTCCTTCCCCAATCCCCTTTTTGGCCTTGTGCCACATTTTGTACTATTGTACGAATAAATAACTATTTGAGGAAATCTGGAGGTAAAATTTTCATACAACACCGGTGACCATGTGACTTTAGCGCCACATTTCATTTCTGAAACCAAACTTGTGTATGTATTTTTCTTCGGTTATTAATTAAGTGAACGGTTTTGAACGAATTTGACAACCCAATTAATCATGAGTGTTAAATCTCCTTGTTCAGTGGCCGAGGTTGTTTTGCCATCTTCCCCTGTTTGGTATTCTTCTTATGCTTGTGATGGAAACGAAGCCGGCGTGTTTGTCTTCGCTTCCCGAAATTACTTGATAGTTTTTCAAATTGAAGTTAAAGATACCAAATTCGGAAATGAAGACAAGGAAAATCGGATAATGCTGGATTATCATCTAATTGGAATGCTTTATCATGCAGAAAAGGTGATTGCTACAGCCGTGGGACCTCGGACTAGGGCAGCACAAAAAGATGAATCGTCCTTGGCAATTTCTGCTTCTCAAAATGGAGAGGTCTGTGTCTGGGAATTGAGTAGCCAGAAACTAATTCATGTTCATCATCAGCATAAAGTAAGTCAAAATATACTTTCTGATTTTACTCTTCATTTAAACTGAACGGTAATCACTTCATTTATTTATTTCCTAAATCTGGGCAAATTTAATACTTGAACTTTAAAAACTTCAACAGAAAAACAAAGAAAAGCTATACTTCCTTGAAGGAAGATATTTTCTAAGAAATATTAAATTTGATTATATTCTCATAAAAAGAAAAGAAAATATAGGAATGTCAAATTGTCAATCAAACAAATTACATCCCAAATCATCTTCAGAAGTAAGGATACTTCAAATTTTATTTTCTTAGACTTAATTTAAATCTTTTAGTTAAATATTGCTCTCTCTCTCCCTTTTTTTTTTTTTTTTTTTTTTTTTTTTTAAGTAAAAGTAGTTAGAAATTAAAAATAAGAGAAACACTTTTGAAAATGTTTCAGTTTACCCTACACCCCCTATCAAAAAATCCTTATAAAATTCAGAATACACTTGGTTGGAAAATTGACCCAACAACTGTTTAGGATTTTAGGATTTCAATTTCAATATTTGACTTTCAGAAAAGCTGTGTAAGTGTTCAAATCTTTTGGAAATTTTCGATGACGTGTTTAATGACATCTTTTCAGTATTAAGAAAACAAAAATATGAACTTTTAAAAATTCTTCAAAACTTTACACATGCTATGCTTTTGAGATCACAGAAATATTAAATATTTTGTTAGCGGTTTAAGTAAGATCAACATACATTTCTAAGTCTTCATTTGTGATGTTAATCGCGAACAAGAAAAGAAAACATTCAGCAGGCTTTTTTTTTTTAAAAACTTGCGCAATAATTTTTTACGTCGTCTTTAAAATTTAATGTTAACACTATGGTGTATCCCGCAGATTTCTATTAGAAAAATTCTAATTTCTGCATGAAGTGTATATGTAAAAAAATAACTTCGTTTGTATAGTTCAGTAATTTTAAAATTTTAATTAATTAAATTAACATCAGAATTTTTTTCTTTCGAGAAGATTAAATTAAAGGGAGGTAACTTTATTTTCATTTTACTGCAGGAGTAAATCAATGGTTAGAACATGTGGAATGAGGACTGAACATTTTGTACATGAAGTTTATCTAAAAAGAAATAAATTTTATTTTAAGCTAAGACGGTGGATGCTTAAGGTCTACACAGTTGAGCGGTATAACATTTTAAATTGATTGCTCTTTGCAGTCCAGGCTTGAAAACGGTCCCATGTATGCTAGCAACTTTGCAGTAATGTCTGAGTTTCTTGAAACCTTGTTTTTTTTTATCATTTTTAGCTTTATAACTTTACAAAATCATTTGATTTTTATGACTTTCATCAATAAAAACTATTCTATTTGACTAAAGACATAAGTTTAAGAGTATCTGGTGAATATGAAACTTACTATCAATAGTTTTTAAGAGCAGCATTTTTTTTCTTATAGTGTGTTGTTTATTCTTGCTGACTCCTTAGAGCATTGAGCCACATTGTTACTGGTGTAATTTCAGTAACAAGTAGATTTTTATGTATTTGAGTTACTTTCCCATGTCAAATATCCTGGTTTTTTAAATTTTTTTTTTCACCCAAGGTTAGTTTTCTTTGCTATTTTACTCATAGTAGGAGGAGGATGGGGTGTGTGTGGAAAAGATGGATTCTTTCTTTTCTTAAGCATAATAATGGAAAATGAATACACTATTTTAGCCTGAATTTGAACTCTGCTGATTTCATTTTCTGTGTTGATAATTATTAGGTTACCTCTACTCCTATGTAGTGTGTGTGTTCATGATAATTACTTTAAACTGTACATTTTTCCAATTCTCTATTCCATTCTTGGCCAGAAAATTCATCAGATAAACTGACATGTATATCTGTTGTTTAAAAAATGCCTAATACATTTAAACACAGATTTTTTTTTTTTTTAAACTTATATTTTTGTTTACAAGTGATGGAAAAGAAGAGTCTTGGAACTCCCCAGTACTGAAACCCAAGTTTTCAAAAGGCCAAGTGCTTTACTGGTACAATACATTATTTGAGTCACATTTAAACAAAGTTTGACATGGAAAATGTGAATATAAAATTCTTCAGAAGGTATAGAAATTTGAAGTTAATATTATTTGCTTTAAGGATTAGATTATCTGTAAATAGAAAAGTGAAAATGACTGAAGAAAAAGCATAGAAAACCTTGATCTGGAACACTTGTTAAATTATTATAAAAACCACAAACTTGCTTGTTCGGAATTATTGAATAATATCTTAAAAATTTCAAGACATAATGAGCCAAAATCACATTAAAACACAAAGTAAATTTCTATGTAAGAACAACAACTAAAGCTTTGAATTTCTTTGAAATGTTATCTTCTTGCTAATAATTGTGATGTTTTGCTTATAGAGCAAAGTAATGGCTGTAGCTTGGTCGCTGTTTGAATCGCATTGGATTGTTACTGGAGATGAGCGAGGGGTTCTTGTCTCCTCTAGATTTGGGGCTTCTGTTCTGAAAAATTTCCACCCTGAAAAATCCTGTATCAACTGCATTTCTTTTTGTCCACATGATCCTTACCTTTTGGCTGTTGGGTAAGTGAAATACTTTTCTTATGAATTAACACTTTCGTAAAAGATGTGCTATGATAGGATGAGTCTGCAAAGATCATTTGATGATCAAAATGTCATCCAATGATGTGTAAATATTTCATGAAGATGTTTTTAAAACTATTGTATGCATGATTCAGCATTTGTGTTATCACTGACTGATGGGAGGGGAATTCTTAAAAATAAACTTGTTTTTATTTCTTTTCAAATAAGAGATTAATTTCAGTTGTATACAAGTGTAGAGAAATTGAATAGAAATTTATTTTTTCTTTTAGATGTTATTGAGCTGACTACCAATCAGTTTATTAATAAAAAATATAAGTTGACTACCCTCTCAACATACAGTTTTGTTTTAGGAAAATCTTGATATTAATTTAGCTTAGTGTAATATGGCAAAAGGTCAAATTTGAAGATTAGATTAGAAAAATGTATTGTCCAGTCTTTCATTTTTTGGAGGCTGCCTTGTAAATATTAAAAATAATTGCAAATGTTCAAAATCCTGACTGTTATCCAGGATAAAACACCAATCTTGAGCACTGGTGGAAAATACACACTTATTTCTGCTATAATGTAAAATTTTCTAGTGATATGTAGTTATCCTGCAAGGATCAATTTATTACTTAAAGCTGATTCTCCAATTTTGGTTCAGTAAGACTGAAGTAACCATGTGGAAAGAAAATTATTAATGATATTACTTATGTGCAAAAATTCCTTGTGTCATATTTGTATTTTTAAGTATGGCACTGAATACACTGTTGAAAACAAGTTATTTGTGGAGAAACAGTTTCATGCACTTCATATAAAACTGATCCCTCTTTGAGGGGGTCAGTTTATTACTTATTATAATTTAATGACCTGAAGAAGTCAGATTGATGACATCCTGAATTGTCAAAATGTGGCATCTTGTCTCTTATAATATTTCAATTGATAAAATGAATAACTTGACAGTACTTCTCTCCTCTCTGAGTGGCAGGCAGGTCATAATGGGTTACAAGGTTAGTTGGTTAGTCCCATAACCTGATGGTTATTGAAATGTCATGCTGGACTTTTGTCTTTCATAGTGTGTTAGAAATACAAAGGATTTATTTGGCAGAGTCCATCATCTTACCAATAAATATATAGCAGACAGTACTGGTTTTCATTAGCAAGGGAGTGTCCTTGACTTTGGAAAAATCCATAAGAAGTAACAAAAGAATAGATTTGTTTTCAAAATTATTAAAAATCTCTTACTTTTATTGTTTTTATTGAAGATTGAATACAAGTGGTTCACAGTAACTAAGGTTAATACTGTTAGGATCCTCTCTATACTTGTTGTTTATATCATTGTCAAAATAATTTATTCTTTACACACATCATTTCAAAATTTTTATTTCTTTGGTTGTCATATAAGCTAGATTATTATTTTTTCAGGTATCGAACTGGTGTAATTCTTCTTGTCAATATGTTAGACACTAGTTCAGTTGTGAAAAAATTTCTTGGCCACAGTGATGATATTACTTCTCTTGCTTGGTGCCCAGAACCTGGTGAAATTCTTTGTATTGGTCAGGATTCTTCAAGTGATTGTGAGTATTGAATATTATAAATCACTTTAGAAAGAACTTTATTTTTGGGATACTCTGTGACAATGGCTTGTGACACAATAAAGAGGACACAAGAACATTAGAATTAAGGCTTCAAGTTCTTGCTTCAGGATTATTCCATGGGGTAATATCTTTGAGGATTAAAGCATTGATTAGTGAATTTGATGACCTAGTAATTGTGAGTTCAATGCCTGGTTTGGGTAGTAGAGATATACTCAGACTCTATGGAAACTGCGCTAGCAATACATGGACAATTAACCAAGACAAGATAACCTTATACATGAACAGTGGTAGATTGAATAAAGGGTTCAGTTCAGAATTACTGAAAATTACCAAGATCAACATACACCTGAAGAAAGCTGGAGGGTTTATTTTCTAGATAACTGAAAAAACTGCTCAATATCTTCTCCAAATGTTACTACTTAGGATTGGCATGGTTAGCACAAAATTTGCCAGGTAAATTTCTTGGTGTGCAGCATGGTTATTTTTCTGCCAATCCATGATTAATTTTCAACCCATGTTGAAATCTGTTTCTAAGGATATTCTGCCTCCCTACCCCTCATGCTAATTCAGTAATTTATAACTTTAAAAATCAGTGTGTTAAATATAAAGACAGAACCAGTCAGAGGTGTGAGTTGATCAGCAAGTACTAGCTAAGATTCATGGTGGCAATATGATAATTTACATATACTTAGGTACCTCCATGAGATCGCTAAAAAAAGAGCATAGCATAATGAAAAAGACGCCAAACTTGATGAAAACAAAATTTTATCGTCTAAATGTTTATTATTAAGAGGAAAGATCAAAGTATTTTTTGGGATATTTTTTTACATTTTTTAATCATTCCTCGCACGTCTGAAATTTTCATTAAAAATCTTTTTTTTTTTTTTTTTTTTTTGAGTCAGCAAAATTGACAGATAATCGATCATGGCAACCATTTTTTTCCATTTTATAAAAAAAAAAAAAATGAAAATCTCAGTTTGAAATTCTTTTAAAATCAGAAATTATAATGTTTATTTAAAATATTTTGAACCAAGCTTAACTTAGCTTCTGCGCTGAAAAGATGCAATTTGAAAATAAAACAAAGCAGGGCATAACCTTTCGCATCACTTGACCGGTGATGAATGACATATTGATGGATTACGTGAGGATAATTTGTTCTACGGAGGAGAAAAGTGAAATTATTTAGACTTAAGTGAACAAATTATTTACCTCGTTATTTTTAAGGAAAACTTTCAGCACTCTAATTTTTTTGTTTTTTGTACTTAGCTTTCACCTTTACGTTTATGATGCTTTATGGAAAATATTTTATAAAGAAATTAAAATAAGACTGTTGAGAGTGAGATTAAATTTCATAAGAAAGGTATCTAATTAATTTATAGGTACCTTTCTTATGAAAATTTATCAGAAGTGTACATAAAATACTATAATTTTCACATTTACTACATTTTACTGTTATTTGTATTTTCATTCATTTTATTAATTTTGATATTTCATTTATGGAAAAAATGTCATAACTGAGATTAATATAAAAATAAGATCATATAAATTTCATAAGATGATAGTGATACTTGTAGGTAGCCTGCTCAGTTGAAATTGAAAAAACAAATTAACTTCTCCACATGTGTTTTGTATTCTGGTTGGTCTTCCGTACTTTATAATTACAGCCTGATTATAAACACAAAATTACATTTCTTAATTACTGCAGGTCTTCTGATTAGTCAAAATGATACAATTTCAACGCACTAAAAAAAGATCTATCTCATAAGGACACTTACAAAAGTGGATGCAGCTTTTAACTAATTTTATAATATTTTAACAACTTAAATGTAAAAATCTATTATAATTAAAGAAATAACATAATTGTATTAAAAATTCATTTTTCATCGAAAAAATGTTTTGCTTTCAGAAAATATTGTCCATATTCATAAAAACTAAAAGCAAATAAAAGCATTTGAAATTAAATAATATCTTTGTTTTATTGAGTTTTGTATGTTACATTTCAGAGCTGATTTTCAGGTAGGGGGGTCCAATTAAAAACAGAAAAAAATATGATTTGTATTCCTCAAACCCTTGTGCTTTTAACTATTGTAATTACTAAAATAAACTTCTAGAGTTTTCATAAAATTAAGCATGGGGTTGTAATAAATATAAAAAAAATATTTCTGCCATGATTTTAATAAAAAAAAAAAACATTTATAATAATTTCAATCATCTGTGAATAGTTTCTGAAAGTTTCATTAACATCCGACAATTATTTTTATTTTTGCAAGATTTTCCAAATTAATGTGTGTCATGCAAAAAAAAAACATGGTAAAAATTGTCTATTCTATTTTACTAGTTCCAGTGATACAAAGAGAAACAAGGATTTTTAAATCAAAATTCAGAATGTTCTAAAACGAAGGAAAAATTTAAAAAAATAATTGAAATAAACTTTGATCTTTCCTCTTAATAATAACATAAACATTTAGACGATAAAATTTTGTTTTCATCAAGTTTGGCATCTTTTTCATCATGCTATGCTCTTTTTTTTTTTTTTTTTTTTTTTTTTTTTTTAAGCAATCTCCATGAGATTGCTAAACTTATCTATATATCTGAGTTTGTGTTTACAGAATACCTCATAAGTAATCTGATTTGTATTTTGTCTTTTGCAAGAGTTTTTTTTTTTCTCAGTCATTAGCACAGCACATTCAGATTACCATTTGAAAGTACTTGATACCATTTATTAAATCTAGGCAACCTTCCCTCTGTAAATAGAAGGAATGGTTTCTCGGTCTCAATGTTGTCTGTTCATCATTCATAGGGCCAATTTTCTGGTAATTCCTTTTCTAATTTTAGTTATTTTAAATCTGAAGAATGAGGAACAGTAACTGGTTGGCTTTTATTTTTTTATTTATCACTTTACAGTAATGTTTTTCATTGCTATTTCTCCCCTTGTTTTAATATATTTGTATATATTACAATTTTATTATATATTTTTGAAATGTAACCCTTTCTTTTTTTTTTTTTTTTTTTTTTTTTGAAAGCCATAATTAATTTGTACTCCCTCCCAGTTATTTAAGACTAAAAAGCCTTTAACTTTGTGCTTGTAATTTGAATTGTTCCATGTACTGTTTGATCTTTATTCTTTTTAGATCCAAGAAAGGCAAATTTTTTTATTGTAGAATTGTCTCATTTTATTTTGTTACAGCTTTGACAATTTAAGTTTGGAATTTTTAGTTTTATTTTTATTTTTTTGTCTGTGAGGAAGTGCCATAATGCTTATGATACTAGAAAATGAAATTTCATCTAATTTGAATAATTTTGACTAATTCTGCTTAAGTTTATGATGCTATGATAGTTGATAGATAATTGGTGAGTGTACACACCTTCCCTTTAATTAAGGACTTTCTGACTTGGCACAATGCAATCTTCCTATTCTCACTGAATTACATATAGTTCTGTTCCAGACTAATTTGAGCTTTGTAAATATATACACATATATCTAAATAAAATGTTGTCTTTGAATTTGCAGGTAAAGATGAAGAAAGCACTTCACCAAGCAATGAAAATACTTATTTACTTGCATCTGGCAGTAAAGATCAAGTAATTAACATTTGGAGCAATTCCAAGAATCATTTGATTTGTTCTATCAAAGTTCCCCAAGTTGTGTCAAAACGAGAAAAATTAACTGAAAATGCTCGCCTCTGGCTTGCTCTTCATTGGCCTAAAGAGGAACCTTATACTTTGGTATCAGCTGTGCAAGCGTAAGTATTCTACTACTAAATAAGGTTTTTCCTTGGAATAATAACTTTATTATTTTATTACAAGTTTAAAATGTTTTAGTTTTGACTTCAAGCTGTTTCCTTTAGGAGAATAGTAAAAAAATAAAAATAATGAAGAGTGTATTGACCTAGTATTAATAATAATATTCTCTATTTTAAGAAAAAAAAATGAAAAATAGATTATCTTATGATAGTTGCTGCTTTTATGAGAAAGGATTAACAATTCTTTAGATACTTTTGAGTATTTTTGCTAAGAATTATTAGTTTTTACATTCTTAGCTATTTTTAGTTCACAACAAAGCTTGTAAAAAAAACAATTTTTTTTTTTTTTTTTTTTTTTTTTCCAACCATTTCTTTTTGCCATAATGATATTAAGATTTTGTTCATTTTAGCCTGCTTTGCCCTGTATTAAATAAATTTTAATTCCCTATAATTCAAGTGATGTTAATTTTTTTATTTGTTTCAAGCCTCATTTTATTCTGTCCCTAAAATGTCCATCCAGTATTTTGTAACTCTTTTTAAACTTGTTATCTTATGGATGTTAATATTTTCAAGACCAAGTTTAATCTCTGATCCAGTAGATTACAACAACCACCATCAATATGAGGGTGGAGCAGTTAGTCCCATGACTGACATATTTTATAATACAAAATGCACTGTGATTTTATGTATTTATTGATTATATAGTCTGATCTCTTCTTTTTAATGAGATGTTCCATTAGCAGGAAGCATTACTCTGCACAATAATGCAAAGTAATCATGCATTGTATTACCATGCCAATAATCTTATTTGAAATTCAGAAAGACTATTTTGTAAACATATTGCATTTTATTTCCTTTCTTTTGTGTTAGCTTTTCAAAAATAGAATTCTTTGTTACATGTGACAAGAATCAATTGTAGAGCAGAAAATCATAGTTCAGTCATACGGAAAATATAACCAATCCAATTGCTAAATTGTCTAAGTATGGTTGTAATTGTATTTTTCCTTTTTAATAATACATGTAAACTATATATATTTATACAAATCATTATTCCTTTAGTTACTATTATATTAAGCATTTGGTAGCGAGAGAAAGGAATAATGAGGATTAGATTTTGAACAATATTTATTGTTTGTATGTCATACAGAGATGTTGAAAGATGGGTGGAATGTCTCAGTGACCGATTGTCAGGAAGCATCTCATGTAAGGGAAACGTGTGTGTGTGTGGGGGGGGCGGTGATCTATTTCTTGTGTTAGCCTGGCCGAAGTGACAGGATATGGTCGGTGCATGCTTGGTTGATCAACATCACGGTGGTAGTTCATTTTTGTTGGTTGGTAAGCCTGTTCTGTGGAATGGGTATAATGACAGATTGATATGGTTTTGTTGGTAAGCCTGTTCTTTTTGAATGTGGCTGCAGTGGTGACTGTGAAAGGAATACCTTGTACATGAGTTGAGTGAGCCGGGGTGATGGTGGTTGGGTAGCACAGGTGACTAGGTGTTGTTGTATTGGTGTGGTTGGTAGGCCTGTTCTGTTGAACATGTCTGTGGTGGCAACTGCGTAGGGAATGCCTTGTAAACGAGTTTAGTAGTCCAAGGTGACAGCAGTGAGTTGCCCAGGTGACGAGGTGTTGTTGGGTTGACGTGGTTATTATTTACCAAAGTGACAGTGTCATTGATGATGGCTTGTAGCTAGGTGGAGTAGAAGCTGGATAGTCAGCCAAATTTTCCAAAGTCATCTTTTGCCCAATGTTAGGGAAATCTTAGTTTCTTTTATTTCTTTATTGTGAAAGCATCTTTTAATAGATTGCAAGAAAATTATCTTTTTACTTTGGGTGACTGGCTGAATATCAAATGCATGTTTATTCTTCATGCAACAGAATCTCTGCACTGGTTTACTGAAGTTGATGATAATAATGCAGTAGGTGCAAGCATGTGTGGAGAATGGTTTATAAAATTTTAGAAAGAACTCTCTGGAAAACTATAGCAGTTTTCTCCCTCTAATATGCCTTGTCTGACAAGCTGGTTATTAAAAAAATCTTTGATGGATTCATCAAATCAAAACCAGAATCATTGTTTTATGAAATACACAATTTATCTGAAAGATGGCATAAACTAAAAAAAAAAAAGATGGTGATTGATAATATCATATGATTATATGAATAAAAGATTTTATTAGAAAATGCTGGAATGTTTTGTAATACCCTAATAAGATATGACTTTATCAATGTGTTAAAACTCGTACTCTAGAAATTCCATCTGAATGTTGAAATGACACTTCCCAACAAGAAATAAACAGAATCTGGTGTACCCTTCAGGATAACGTCTCTGCAGACATAACATCAATGTCTATAGGTGGAAACAGAAGGGTAAAAGAGGAAGACTAGTAAATTGCCATGGTCTACCTACCTTATGTCAAGGGCTTATCAGAAAAGATTCAGAAGATCTGTGGTCCGTACACCATCAAAACGATATTCAGAAGCAGTTCTACTCTGTGAAGAAATCTATGCAGAACAAAGCCTAGCATAGGGGAGAACATGACCAACAACTGTATGTACTCCATTTCTTGCAGTTGTGGCAAATAATATAAAGAGGAAACAAACCACTCTCTGAAAGTAAGGCTGGAGGAACATTGAAGAGCCATGGTTAGGGGTGGGACAATGAAATCAAGCATGGGTGATCATGTACGGAGGGAAAATGGTAGAATGAAGTGAAAATACTGGACATGGAAGAACACTGGAGAGTTAGATGTCTGAAAGAATCAGTGCGTATGGCAATCTCCTTAGCAGGCCTAGCATAGAAATAAATATGGTTGTTAATAGAGACAGACAAATGACCACAAGTCTTCAGCAACTGTAACAGAGAAAAAAAGCTCCACTGAGTGCAATCAAGCATTACAAGCAGCAACAATCCTCAGTAGGCAACTTAAGTTTAAGGCTCAAAGTATTGTCCTACAGGATTAAAGTGTTGATTCATGAATTTGATGATATAGTAATTGTGAGTTCAATCCATAGGTCAGGCACTGTGTACTTGTACTCTGGAAACAGGGGGAGCAATAACTGGACAGTACTAATAGGTATCTCAAGAGAGCAGGCGATCTCCAGAGATTAAATAAAGGGTTCAGTTTGGAATTCTCTGTAGGTTACTCTGATCAACATGCACCTAATAAAAGCTAGAGGGCTCAATAGCTGAAACATTGGGATAACAACAACAACAACAACAAGATAAGGACAATTGTCTGCATATAAATAGTGTAAATAAATATTTGTGGTTTGTTAATTTTTGTTACCAACAGTTTTCTTAACTATAGCTTTAATCTTTATATGCAGAAGCAATTAAACACACTATTGAAATATTTTCCTGATCTGATGATGAATTGTGATTTCTCCCGGTTAGAATTTAGTTTGACTCATTTATGTCCTCTTTGATATTAAAGAATTTTGTTTTCTTTTTCATTCTGTTGCATTGATTAAATATTCACTTATTAATGTTTTGTGCTTTTCAGTGGCTCTATGATCAGTTGGGATCTGAAACATCCTGGTCGAAAGAAATATACTGTATTTGAAACCTCTGCAGGATGTTCTCATAATCGAGCAATCTTCAGTATTGCATCTATGGCATCAAATGGAAATATTTTGTGTACCATTTCTCAGGATAGAAATGTAAGTAACTAGAATTGTATGTTGTCAGATAATTCTACTGTAAATTTTTTAAAATTGTAATTCATTTTAATGAGGGGTTGCTCTTATTTAAAATGTCAGTATCTGGAAGTGCAATTAGCAGGAAATATATTTATGTAACTTCATAGCAAGTTAAAATTTTTATCCAGGCTTTTTGATCAGGAACCAGATTATGCAGTTATATAGTATTGTAGTTTACCATGCAACATGCAGGACTGCTCAGAATTGCATGGAAATTTTATTTAAAATATGAAAAGTATATTTTTGAAATTTAATTAATATTGTTACAATAGCTGTACAACCTAAAGAATACCACTTTATTTTCTATTACTTTCAATTTATTACTGAAAATTAACTTTTTTATCCATTTCAATTCTTTGATTTTTATACATTTTCAAAGTGGTAAATGGCTTGATTGATAAGTAGAAGTTGCAATGGCTTTTTTTTTTTTTTTTTTTTTTTTTTTTTGTGTGTGTGGATGTATATGATAGGTAAGACCAGTAGAGCTTTAACAAAAAAATAATACAATTATACCATAACAGAATTCTTAATTAATATATAGAATAGATCATGTAGTTTGTATATTTATAAATAAAAGGAAGTGCCAAAAAAAAAATGACAACACTACACTGGATGATTTTTGCTTTCTCTCTCATGTAGAAATGCGCTCAGCCCAGTACATTCCATAGGGTTTTGTCGTCAACCAACAAGGGTACCATTATTAAAAGCATAGTGTCATTTATTGCATCTCAGTGGAGTCAGAACATTGCCATCAAACTGTGAAAAACAGGCAGCATGCCTCCTATCTAGAAAAGATGGTTCCTTTTGAGAAGGCAGTTGGTGTATAGAGGAGACTACATAGGGCTCTAGAGCAAACATCTTATGAAGCTGGTGGTGGCTATGTAATGGTATAGGGTGTTCTGTTAAAGCTTTGTAAAGATCACTAGTAAAATTAGAGTTGTGTTACATACTGGGATATTTTTTATTATCATTTCACCCCCTCCAAACAATGCAATAAAAGCCACTAGGATACAAGAGGCTACTGAAAGTGAAAGAAACCAAGGACAATAAAATAACAAGATTCAAGGATATGGAAGATGATGACTGACATTGCATTTAAATTTTTGAAGATTGTAATTGACAGGAAAGCAAGCCAGAGAGAAGTGAGGTGTGAAAGAAACTGTCAGCATGTAACTTAGGGTTACAACTAGCAATTTCAACAGGGAAATTATGAAACCTAGCTGCCAATCTAATTCTACACTTAAATTCGTAAAGTCAAGATACCAAAGAGGAAAGCTCATCAGAGCAATTAATGTGAAAATATTTACAGAAGAAGCAAATTGAAGCTAAGTTAAGGTAGTGGGAAAGTGACAGAGGCTGAAATGCCAGGTCAGGACTGACAATATTGTTTATTCTTATTTAATTTTGTTAAGTATCTTTAGACACATAGCAGAAGCACCAGACCATATGTAATAATATTTGATGCATGGATGAATGGTACTTATAAATATGCAAGTTGAAATCTGCGAGAAAAATTGTCTAGCATGACATAGTGAACCAACTTTCCTAGCAGCAGACTCAGCAATTGATTCAGTTTAATTATTCCACCTTATGTCAGTGGAAAACGTGAGACCAGGAAGGTGCAGTGAGTTGCTCTCCTGGAGGTTAGCATTAGCCATGCTGATGGAAGGCTAAAAATATTGCTTTAAGATGATTAATAGAGAGCAGTTTTGTTTTAGAGGCATTAAAATTAACAAACCATTTCTTGCCCCAGTTAACAACAGATTATAGGTCATTTTCAAGAACAACTGCCAATTTGATTTTATTGAAACTATCCAATTTGCTATTAAGACAGTAGTAAATTGTCATCAGCATGGATACAGGATTGGGAACTGATGATATCAGGAAAGTAATTGATGACAAAAAAGAACAAATTATGTCCAAGAATAGGGCCCTGGGGACACCTAATTTAATGCAAAATAATCTAGAGTGGATGTTCAAGACAATTTTCATTGCACCATTTGATAAGAAAAATCAAAGAAATGGCCAGAAATACAAATGGCCTTGTGAAGAACAACAGCCATCCAAACCCTGTCAAATGCCTCCAAAATAAAAACCCAACCTTTGCTAATCTTATCTAAAGCGTGACAGATTTTTTCAACAAGTTCTGGTCTTCAGGGCTGGCACAAGGTCTTTATCAAGAGGTCTCTGTAAACAATGTGTGTTCCAGTAGCAGTAATATGGGGACTCTTCAAGTTGCCCAAACCTCCAGCTTGTGTCTGGCAGGGGTGGGGTTGACCAGGCTTTGGTTGTCTTTCTCCCTCTGCATCAACCTTTTTCTAAAATTCCATTTTCTCAAAATATAGAGTGGTTTTCTAAATTTGAGATTGTCCAGTCCCCTTTTGAGAGTGGTTAGAGGAATTAAGCTGCCCCCTTAACTCCTGCCCTCTTCACATCTCATTTCACACAGTTGCACCATATAGGCGGTGCTAATCTGTCTTCTCCCATTTTCTCAGCATCTAACCTCGGCCAACTCCAATGGCTAACACTTATCATGTGATAAATCTAAACTCTCAGAATGTTTGATTTTCAAAAGCCAGAGACTTGTTAGGAGCCTACCCAGATGTCCCCCTCCCCACCAATCATTATCAAGAATTGTCATGGGTGGAAAAGGAAAGAAAAAGATTCCTAATCTCTCTAGTGATAAAAACAAAAGTTATCTTTCCACTTTTTGTTTTCTCGATCAACAATACCACACAGCCTTTTTGCCCAGGGTCACTCCAAAATAGAAATTAATTTTTCTTTATCACTTGTATCCAAAGGAATCCAATTAATGTTGGATAAAAAATTTTCCTTGAGGAATGTCACAAAAATTAAAATGAACAAATCCATCAGGCTAATCTTTATCTTTGTAGGTATGCTTTTCTCTGGGAGGTCAATTCAAACCAGATGGTTTTCCCTGGATTTTTGTCCAGATCTTTAAATGTTATATTGGTGACTAGCCAAGTTTCTTTATTGGCAACATGTTTTTTTTTTTTTTCTATTTAACATTTTTGGCGAGAAGTGGGGAAAGACAGCTAGTTTTGGTTTTGCTCAGTCTTACTGAATTCCGTTTAGTTAAATTTGGGTTTGATTCTTTTTGGAGCTGTTCAGGATTTCATTTATGATTTTTCAACATGTTTTTAATTTTCTCAACTTTTCAATTCATCTTCCTGCGAATTTTAACAATTATCATCCAGCGAGTAGACTCTTTCTTTCTTACTCTTTTTGTTTCTTGGGCAACAAACTTTCTCTTAAACGTGTTTCATTGAATATGATAAATAAAATCTAAATTTTTTATTTAGTTTTTGCAGCGTTCTTAATTTTTTCCGTTTGGTGGGAGTAAGAGAGTGCAAAAATTGTCTGTATTGTCAATTGTTACAAGTGTTTTTGCTTAGAATTTACAAGAACCCTTAAGAAAAATCTTGTTGAAAATACTAAAGTTCTTTATAAATCACATTACCAGAAACATTTTGCTTCCATATTCAACAGTGGTAATGGTGTGTTGAGGGACAATTTTTGCACTCTCTTACCCCCATCAAAACAGAAAAATGTAAGAATGCTGGAAAAATTGAATAAAAAAAATCATATATGGGGGTTGACAACTTACTTGGATGAGTGTTGGTCTCACATCATTTGTGTCTCATTTTGGCCTATATAACAAATAAACTTTGTATCTTTGATTGGGTTGATTGGATCTGTATGGCATACAACACACCTGTGCTCCTTTCAGTACAAATGATGATCTGTAAACTTTGTTGCAAATAACACAGATATCATTGGCAGGATGATGATACAGGTTGGTATAGTTGGCTAACTTCTAGCTGTTATGACCTTTCAGATGGTTTACATAACCTGCCCTCAACAGCAGCATACACGTGCACGCACACACATACACCACATTTCCAAAACTGCATTCATCTTCTGTTATAATGTAAGAAAAGAGTCTGTTGAGATTAGGGGGAAACCCCTTACTGATTGCTCTCCCAGCAACTACGGGTGTAATAGACAGAGAGGGGAAAGAAATGGGAGGTAACAAAAATAAAACTGCCTCGGAAACCACGGCAACTTGAGAAACAAAAATGCCCATGAAACTGACTCCATAAGATGCCGTGTTTTGTCAACTGCCAACTGTTGGTACCCCCCCCCCAACTTTTATTGGCATGAAGCATATTGCAAAGACCCAGATTTTGACCAATTGCAGAGAGGCTCATATCTAGACATGCCAAGCTGTCCAACTACTAACTAGAAAAACATGGATGTAATTGGTGTTCACACACAGTGTCCACATGTCATCAGAGGCCTCTTTTGCATCTGTATTGAAATACATTCACCACATCCTCAAAGGTGTTACATTCCTCCCTAATAAAGTGCCTCCAAATTATCTTCTTAGGCTTGTGCTGTGGACATTTTCCTGCCTTCAGTTCCTCATAGAAAAGTTCTCTCTCAATGTGTCCTGACCATCACATCTGATTGAAGATTATTATTGTTTCCATTTCAACCTTTGGAAGACAGTAGTGTCTGGAATGAAAGACTGCCATTTAATGTTAAGGATGCATTTCAAGCATTTTTGGTGGAATCTCATATGACACAATATATTGTCTAGGTTTCAGAAGTGTACAGCAGGGATGTTAAAACATAGGCCATCTACACATTTATTTTAGTCTTGATGGTAATACCTCTGTCTAATTAAACTCTACTTTTCCAAAGATAACACTTGCCTTCTGAATGCATGAAAAAAACCTTTACATCCAGAGCACTGTCCTTTGGTATAGTACTTCCAAGATATGGGAAAGTGTCAACAAACTCCAGTCTGGTATTTTTCCCAAGTATTATTAGTGCAGGAGGTGGAGGGGTGAACATCACTTCTTCAGGCCAAAAGCATCACAATCAGCAGAGAAGTGATCCATTAAGAGTTGCAAATATACCCAGGTATGCTAGAA